TAATGAAAAATTTCTGACTTAAATACTCAGGAGAATTGATGAGATGTCACATTAAAGCCCTAGCCTTGTAGTTATTTCAGCATATTCAAAGCTTTCTTTTGCCTGTCCAATTCATGGAACAGATGGAAAAAATGCTGTTTAATATGTCACATGGAAAGATTTGTATAAATAAGGGTAAAATATCAGCAGAAAGGATTGCAACCCAGAGCCACTATATATACGTTTTGTCTTTTTTTTTTGTTTGCCTTCCTTCTTTTATTCACTTATTGTTATTGGCTATTGGCTACCAAATCATTGGGATTTATGTTTAGGACTGAGTCACAGATATCTCTATGAATGCACCACTTTGCACGCAGTACACTTTATTATACCAGGGTCTTTGACACGCTCCCTGCTCTGCGACGGAGCTCTCCTTACCTGTGGGGAAGCTCCATCTATCTGTCTCTCTGCTTCTCCAGCTGCATCACTCACTCTTAATTCAAGGAAGTGATTTCTTACTTCTTGTCATTGTCTTTCCTCCTCGCACTCACTCTCCATCCATCAGGACTCGTTTCCTGATTCTGTGACTGCTGGCCTCATGCGTTTCCCTTACTCCGGTCCTCTTTGAGAAACAGGACCCAGATTTTTTTTTCTCTCCCTTTTTCTTTTTAAATAAAACTTTTTGAACCTGTTTCTTTTTTTCCTTCTGTATCTTTGTTTTCCCATTTAAGACTGAGAGAGGGCACAGAATCGGTACAAAAGCAATCCCACATATGAACATTCCTGAAGAAATAAGATTTTTTTTTAAGTTTCCAATAGTATGGAATGGTAGGCTTCCAATTATTATCTATTAATAAATACAGTGATCTTTTAAAATCAAGAATGTTTACACCTTGGAGGGATTAGTTCTCAGGTGTAATGTCTTTCTAGCAACAATAAAAAATCAGAATAGAAGAGATGTTGCGTGCATTTCCAGTTGTGCTTTCTATTGCCAGACTCACATTTGGATCTACAAACTGTAGCACTTTATACACCTAACTCTTTCATAATGCTGCTCCTCTGCTTTTTAAAAATGTGCTGGACATATTTTAATATATGATTTTAGTGGATATATTTATTTTAAAATAGCAGTAGAAGACAAGTTATTCTAATCATAGCAGGAATCTCACATGGAATTTAATAGTTTCAAAAATGTTTGTATTGTATGAAGAGTTTGCTAAGCCCTTCACAATGAATAAACATCAACCTGTATATCCTAAAATTTAAAGATAAAACAAAATGCAATTTGAAAAGAGATTGCTGAGTCTATTCTTGAATTTCTTTCTGACATTAAACAAGGCCGAATTTCAGTTACGTACCACTTAACATAAACACCTCAGAAATGGTCATTTAAATAGATATTTTAATTCCATTCCGTTCCAATTTGAGTGGGAATTCTTTAGTAACTGTGAAACGTACTTTGTCTTTAAGAAAAAAAAGCCAAAACTACTTCCCTAAAGATCTTCAAATACTCATAAAAATCAAAAAGAAATTTTAACAAACCTCACAGTTTAAACTGAGAACCCAAACTATCTGTACCATCCCTGTAATATAATTTGTATCAATTTTTTTCCTAGGCAAAGTAATGACCCATTCACCCTTCCATTAATTACTACGGGAGGCGGGGAAACTCAGAGTGATATAAATGCAGTTCAATAGGAAATAAATTGATTTTCCTTTGCTGAATGTAATTGTCATATAAGTAGACCATAAGCTATGATACAGGCAACACCCATGGTTTATTGTAAGTGAGCTCACATTTTCATATACCCTAGTAAACGGAATAAAATATTTAACATGGTGTTAAGGCTCAATTTTCTTCCTCCTCTTCTTGACAATAATGCCATAGTTCAATATCTTGGACATTTTTTTCTTGAAGAGGATGAAGTACGATTCTTTGCAAGCGATATTAATCTATTTTGCTATCTTAGCAGGGATACATTAACCAGACCGAACTCTGAACACGTTTTTATTTCCTACTGTAGAAAAGACAGGAGATAGCTCATTAAAATATATCAATGAATAATAACTTCTTCCTTTAAATGAACTAATATCTAAGTTTAATGAAGCTCAGTTTATAGTGATTTTCTGGCTGAAGTACTCTTCTTTCTGCCTAATTATGGCACAGCTTGCAGACAACAAGGAGTGTCTTTAACATTGGATAAGAACCTAGGCTTTTATCGCAATCAATAGTCTTTAGCCTTTGAACTCGTGTCGGTGGAAGACCAGTCCGTCACGTTCAGTTCTACCTGACCTCTTTCTTCTTGATGCATGCTGCCATTTACAAAAGAAGCACCCCCCCACACACACATGCGTGCTCACACATGTTCATACACACCCATGCACACGCCTAAGACAGAAGCAGGCGAAGTGCACGCATTTTTTGTGTGCCCGTGTGTCCCTGTGCATGTGCACCAGCGTGTGCGGACAGGGTCCTTTATGGCTGTAAAGATGTGTGACTGTAATAATGATGTTAAAATTTTCTTGTTTCCTTTCACTGGGCTTTGTGTATCTCAAAGGAGCCCCATATGGTGCTCTTTGTCCGTGTCATTACCTCGTTACAGCCACTGTCTGCCAGCCAAAGGTAGACCGAGCTCTGCAGCTGTAGACAGCGATACAACTGGAATTGTCTAAGGTCAACAGTGCCGTAATTACTTTAAAATGTCAGCGTACAATAAAATACAACAGTTCATCTGGCAGAAAGCAAATTAGCTTTGACCATAGCGTAATTACCCTTTTCTCAGCACCATTAGAAGAGATCAAATCTCCACATTCAGTGTTTGAGGAAAGGCCATCAGAGTACACTCTACCTGACAAGGATGCACATTTGCCATTTTGAGATGTAATTAATTGTCCCTATAATAGAAATTTTTATATTTGACTCTGGAATTGAAATGTGTAATAACCTGGCTTCTTCATTTTAACCATTTTGATGCTGGGGGAAAAGGAATGTGTTGTGAAATACAAATATGTAGTATCAGTATCACTTGGAACATATTTTTATTTTGAGAACAATTAGTTCTGCTGCAGGAGGATTTATTCTGAAGTGATTTCCGCATGTGTTAAGGATGAGGCTAATATCTAGATCCTATATTGAAGGAAACGAATTTAAGAAATTAGCATTATTACCCTCTTCTGGTCATAGCTTCTGTTTCATCTTTGCATGTGCATTTCCTGTCTGCCAGGGATAATGCGACCTGAAGTGGCTTTCAGACATATTAAAGGTTGATTTCCGCCACTGATCTTCATCTACACCTCTACTGCACATGGGGTGATGTAGGAGGACGTGCACCCTCCCCCACCTCCCCCGGGCTTAATGTGCCTTTATGCCTAGAACATCCTCTGTTTTGCAGACAGCCATCATTAATGGTGCAGGGTATGAATGCAACAATGATACCGTAATTTGATTAGCTAGGAGACAAACAGCAAGGATCTGACCAGTGACAGTCCCTGAAGGGCAAAGTCTTCAACGCTGTTTGTTGACTTTCATTAATATTTAAGGGCGCCAAAGATGCTTTAAACTGATTTGAAATGACTTAAGGTGTCTGAGCAGCATTATTCCTTGTGCGTGGTTGTTGAAACACATGAAACAGCTGTTTGGTATTACAAGAGCCTGGCACTGTATTTAGGGAATTCCACCACCATAAAGATGTTTACACTTTCATGATGCTCCATTCACTGTGTTGTGGGCTTCTTCACAGTATTTCAAATGAAAAAGTGTTCTCTTGGGTTCAAAAATCTCCCTTTTAAGCACAGATTTCCTGGATGGGGGCAGAGGAGGACTATTCATGCAATCCTTGGGAAACATCTTAGATAGCAAGAAAATTCTTAACATGACCCCTTGTAATTGAACCATTGCTTGCTTTAATGTACTAAAGCCAAATTAATAAACAAACTTGCTGATGAAATCACTGGAGCACAGCATCGATCAATTTGTCTCTTTAGAGCCGAAATCCTCGCACACACTAGGGTTTTTCCGCAGATGCTTGGAATGTTTTGTCCAATGTTTTGGACTGTTTCAACGTGATATACTACTCACAGACAAGTTCACAGTATAAGACATAATAAGGGCAGGGGGATGTTTAAAAATAAGCTAAACCTCAGGTGAATTTGTGAAGGAGATGTAGTAAGTTAGGGAGAAGAGAAAATGCTTTCTTTGGGGCTCACCTAAACCTAGATTAAATCAAGATACTTGTAAATATATTCAAAGTGGCTGTCACATGGTGAGATTGAAAGGGCCTAGTCAGAATGACTCTTTTAAGTTGGAAAGCCTGAGTAGACTGTAACTTCCAGTAGCCAGTGAGTGATATAAATTAATGCCTTGCTATTCACTTGACAGAGATGTGATAAATTACTCAATATTTGGAAGGTCCTTTGGTGAGTAATCAGTCCTCCTCTGAAACAGCCTCAACCTTTCCTTAGCCCAGAATTTAAGGCCTTTCACAATCTTACCCAAATTCAACTTTGCATTCATCTTTTCTCACTGAAAATTTTCTACTCCAGCTACATTATCTCCCTAGCCTTCACATCCTTAGCCCTCCACTTCACAATGTGTCTTTGCAGGTGTTTCCCAGGGTGCTTTTTGTGGGGTCCCATTTCTGCTTCTTAGTCCTCCATAACAAGATTTGCATTCCACTGCCTATTGCAGAACGTCCATAACGATCTGATTCACTTTACAATCAGATCTTTCTTTTCTGAATATCTAAAAGTTATAGTAGTTTTGAAAGATTCCAACAAGGAGATGATGTCTTTGATGTTTTACCATTTCCTTCATTTCATCTGCATCAATTTTAATAAGAGAAGGGAGTTATTGATCGCAGAGATAAATTACTTGTCCTTGTTTCTACCCTTGGTCGGCTCTCATGCTGTGCCTCCAAAATGTGGGTAAGGCCATTTAGATGTGGAATTTACAACAGACAAACATGTAACAGTAGAGAGCAGAGTGATGGCTTCCAAAAGGGTGTTGGAAGGTGGGTGGAGAGATGGTACCCAGTAGCCACAATGAGTTACAATGAGAACAGAGAATACATTGCTGAGACCAGCGGCATAGCATGGGACGATGCTGCAGTTGATGATAATGAACGGCATATTTAACACCTGTTGGCAGTAGATTTGAACTGTTGTTAGTACAAAAAATAAGTAGGTGTGGTGATGAATGTTAATTAGCTTATTTTAATTCCACAATGAACACATTCATTATAATATCACATCAAAGTCCATAAATATATACAATTGCAATTTATCAAGCAGAAAGTTAAGTAGAAAGAAAAGGAGGTGAGAAACTTGAGAAAAGTGTGAAGTTAGCAGTGTTTATATAAAATAAGTGAATATTTGTTACATATGGAAAAAATAATTAGGAAGCAACAAGATGAAATGTTCCTAACCCTAAACAAACGCTCCGTCAATTTCAGCTTGTTTTTGTATGACCCAGTGGCATAAAATAAATCGCTCAAACTGAAAGCACTGTGCAGAAACACTATAAATGACTGTAAAGTTAAGGGCTGGGGATATAGCTCAGTGGCACAAGTGCTTGCCTAGCAAGCATGAGGTTTTGAGTTCAATTCCCAGTACCAGCAAAAAACGTGTGTAAAGTTAAGAAGGAAATCAGAAGCTAAATAGATTACTTTGTTAATGTATTCAATATCTTGGGGGAAAAAGCAAGCATTCTTGGAGAGACCACAAAGCAAATCAATCAAAAGATGTTATAAAGAAAATATAAAGAGGGATAAATCTTGAAAATAGAATTAAAATTAACATTATGCGTATTAGTGGAATTCTATCTGATTGTAGAGAGGCAAAAGTCCTGCAGAGAAAACAATGTATACCAGCTTTTCATCCTCAATTTAGCAAGTGGTCATTGGAAAAACATCCAGTTATTCACTTGCTTTACCTTTACTTTAGTTACCCAAATCATTAAATCTGTTTTTATAATAAAATATTTGTTAAATGTATCAGTTCTCAATTTTTTCCTTCAAACATTGATATCTGAGCATCAATTCATGAATCCATTAATTATTTCAATTAATGGAAGTCATTAACTCTTGCTTTAAACCACACATGGACCTGGACAGGCCAAGCCTACCACAGGGTTTAGGATTAAAAAAAAAATAAAATAAAGGCAAGTTTATGAAGAATTCCAAGTTTTTAAATTTATGAAGAATTCCAAATATTTAAAGTTATGAAGAATTCCAAGTTTTAAAATTTATATATATTTATATTTTAGCTCTTTCTACAAAACTATTTTGAAGCCACTTAACATTAAATAGAATGTGTAGCAGCTGTAATACAGTTTTAGAAGTAGATTTGATGTACTATCTTTGGATAGATCTATTTCATATCTTTACTTCTCTTGTTACACTTCAAACCCCCCTGCCTTCTGTCAGTCTCAATGCATGAACTGGCCTTTATTCCACTGCCAAAAACAAAACAAAGCAAGAATTTTACCTCTGGCCCAAATGAAGTAACAGGAGCAGACTTACTCTTAGCTGTCCTTTAAATGTGTCCTCCAAAATCCGTGTGTTGAGAGCTTAATGTTCAATGCCACAGTGATGGGAGGTAGAGACTAAAGAGAGGTGATCCTGACATGAGAAGTCTACCCTGATGAATGAATTTAATAGCAGCATCATGAGTGTTGGTTTGTTATACTTGCAAATTCAGTCCCCTCCTTCCTTCTCTTTTATGGTATGCATGATGTCTTAGCATGTGATGCTTCCCCCATGCCACAACACAGCCACAATGCACTCGTGAGATTTAGCCCAGTGAGTGTAGATCTCCCAGCCTCCTGAACCGTGATCAAAATAAGCTTTCATAGTTCACAGGTCACCAGTCTAGAGGTGTTCTAACAGCATGGAATGGACAAAGATTCCCTCTAGGCCCAAGTAACAGAAAACATTAAAAAATAGTTTGGAAAATAAATGAAAACAAATAGTGTATGATGGTGAGAGATCAGAAATCAATGAGTTAAGCCTTATTATTAGCACAGTTTACTGGCTTGAAAGAGATTCCAGACGGTACTATATGGAAGAGAAAATACAAGGAAGCCCAGGAAAGGACTCAGTAACTCCCTGCACCAAAAAGATAAAGTAGAATGTCTCAAAAGATGAAGTCAGGTGGATTTCCCAGGGCAGAATTTCAGAGAAAAGAGGTTTGTGTGAACAGAGAATCCCAAAATGCTGCAGAAAATGCTCAGCACAGCAGTGATGAGACCCTGTGTACGAGGAAACCACCCAAGATCAGAGAAGGAGCCTGCACAAAGATGGAAGAAAGCACTTCTATGGATCACAGTGCCAGGGAAAATGCCCGTTCCCCACCAGCGAGACTGGGAAACCACATTCACTCCTGAGGCACACAAGTTATGAGGAAGGTCTTGCTTCAGTACTGAGTAATAATTAGCTTCAGATAAATCACTGTTCCAGATCTCCTAAAAAATCCCAGAAGACCTACAAGTATCAAACTGTTTCTGAGTAATTGAATTCCAAAGCAAATCTAAAGGACACTTGCAGAAATAAAAATATCCACCACAAAACTAGGTAAAAATAACAGTGTTTGTCATCAAATAAAAGATTTCCAAGCCTGCAAAAAGAAAATAACATATATATATATAAAATGAATCATTAATTAATCAAAACTTACCCAAAACTGAAATAAATACTAGGATGAGCTAATGAGGGAATTAACAGTCATAATAAATTTTTTTAAGTAATAATTGTTTTAAAAATTGTAGTAATAAATTTTTTTAAAAAGCCAAGTGAGCATATGAAATATGTAAAGTAACTATAGACTAAATTAAACAACCAAATAAAACTGCTAGAGACAAAAATTAAAACATGTAACATTTTAAAAAATACCCTGAGTAAGACAGGTGGCAACTCAGTTCTGTAGAAGAAATAGCTAGTGAAATTGGGAAAAATGGAAATAGCAACTATCCAAAATAAAATAGACAGAGGGAAATTTTTTTTTTTAAATAAAACTAACCTCAGACACGCTAGAGAACTTCAAGTGAAGAAATAAGTGTGCAATTGGAGATGCTAATGATAAATGGGTGGGAATGTTTATAGATGCAAAGGCTGAAAAGTTATTCAATTTTATACATATCGTGAACCGTCAAATCAAAAACAATTCAATAAATTGGTTACAACCACTGATACACAGAAAGGCACAAAAAGGAGAGGGAGAAAAAGGCATTTTACCAACTGAGCTATCAAGAAAAGGATGACAGTTGATTTCTTTTGGAAAAAAATGAAAGCACAAAAGTTAGAAAATCATTGTTTTTTAATTTCTGAAAAATAAAAATATCCCTGACAACCTAGAATCCCAGGCATATGGAAATACATTTTTAAAAACAAATGTAAAGATAAACATGTCTCAAATATACAAAAACAAAAAGCTAAACAGATGAGTCAATAGCACACTGTCACTCCAAGTAGTTCTAGAAGAAGTCTTTTCAGGCAATAAGAAAATGGCAAATGGAAATAAATGTCAACAAAGGAATAAAGAATGCATAAAATGTTACCTCCATAAGTAAATGTATATGCTACTTTTCTCAAAAGAATTTTCTTACCAGAGATTTCTTATTTATGTCACTGAAAAAGGTAATTGTCTCAAAGAACAATGTGTTCTGGAGTATATTGCATGTAAAAGCAAATTTTATGACAAATGTCTAAAAGTAAAGGAATAGAAGTGTGCTATTGTAATAATATACATGAAGATGTATAGCAATGCTAATTCTATTACTATACTTGAGGATGCTATCATTAGAAGGCAGACTGTAATCACTGAAGGGCGTATACACGCTATGCAACTAAGGAAACTACTAAATTAGAAACATAATGAGTCATAAAAAAACCCAAAACTGAGGTAAAATGTAGTCAAAAATATTCTAAATTAGGATAATCTCCAAAAAACAATTAAGTACAAGAGGAAAATAAAGCATATAGCAAACTGATGGATGTAATTCCAATCATATCAATAATGGAAGAATGGAAGATATATTGTATATTAGTCCTAGTCAAAAGCAAACTATTAAAATCATGATAGATTACAGAAACAAAGAATACTGTAAAGACGATAAAAACAGGTTATTTCATAATGATAAAGTAGTCAATTAATCAGGACAAAAGCATTGTAATATTGTATATTTCCAATAACAGTTTCAGACACAAAAATAAAACTTCTAGATCTGTCAAGTGAAATTCACAAATGCACAATTATAGTTAGATTTCAGTACTATTTTCCTGATAACCGACAGAACATATAGATAAAAAATTAAGGAGGGTACAATAGCCCTGAACATGGCTATCAACCCATGTTATCTACCTGACATTCATGGAATAATCCATCTGAATAAACTAAACACCCTTCCTTCTCAAGGGCACATAGAACATTTATCAAGATTGATCACATATTGGATAAGAAGATGTCTCATTATTTCAAAAGGGTTCAAGTAATGAGAGTACGTAAGTACCACAACGTATTTCTCAGACTGCAAAGGAATTAAATTTGAAATTAAGTAAAGCAATATCTCAGAAAGGCCTTAAAATGTTTGGAAGCTAAGTGATATACTTCTGAATAAAAGATAAATTAAAGATGAAATCAAAATGCAAATTAGAAAGTATTTTTTAACTGAATACAACTAAAATCAGGACATTTGAAATGCTTAAGGAGCAGCTAAAGTGATATTTAGAAGGAAATGCATAACACTAAAGCTCCTACATTAGAAAATAAAGAAGGTTGCAAATCAGCATCTAAGCTCCCAAATTAAGAAATCAGGAAAAGCACAAAAACAAAGCATAAGAAATAAAAAGTTGGAACAATAGAAAAAATACCACAATGAGACAAAAATCAAGTTCTTTGAGAAAAAAGTCAAGAAAATGTTATAGCACTAGAACAGTTATTAAGAAAAAGGGAAAAGAGGAAAAAACAAATTATCACTGTAAAAAATAAGATAACATCAGTATACATTAAACATATTAAAAGGAAAATGAAA